CAGGGGCGGGTGGCCGTTTAAAAAAAAGCCTCCCGCCCCCTGCTTGTGCGCGCTCCCTGGGAGCACGCCGCACCGCGATCCGGTGCCCGATGTGTCTTCCGGACACAGTGGAACACCGATCAATGTACGGGACCTCTGTGTGAGGTCCCGATCATGTAATCACTGATTGGCCAATCAGTGATCACATGCAGAGTAGTAAACAAGATGTCACTTCTGACATCATTGCTTACTACTGTGTGAAATCTGTGAATGATCGCAGAGGTCACATGGTACAAGGCTATTCACAACAGCATTGTACCATGTGACAAGATGTGACCAATCACAATGGCTTCAAGAATGCAGCCAGAGAGAAGGAGAAATGATTGCTTTTACACCCATAAAAGCTGTAAAAGCAATCAGTGTAAAAAAAAAAATCTTCATAATCCACCACAAGTAGTACAGTGTCACTATGGTGACACTGTACTGCTAGGGTGACAGTATGTAAAAAAAAAAAACATAAATAATAATATAAAAAAAAAATAAAAATGTAAAAACAAATTTTGAAAAATTATAATTTTTGGTTATTAACTAATTTGGGTTATTTTGTTTTGCTAAAAAGATAACTGAATACATTTTGGCCGAGATTTATGAAGAAAGATTATTTATTTGCAAAATTTTATAAGAAAAACTTTTTTCTAAATTTTTGGACTTTTTTGTTTATATAGCAAAACAAAATAAAAAATCCCAGTGGTGAATAAATACCACCAAAATAAAGTTTTATCTGTCTCAAAAAAATGCTAAAAAATGCATATGGGCACAGTGTTGCATGACCGCGCAATTGTCATTCAAAGTGTGATAGCGCTGAAAGCTGAAAATTGGCCAGGACAGGAAGGGGGTAAAAGTGACCAGACTGGAAGTGGTTAAAAAAGTGAGGGTTCACATACTTTAATAATTGTGATTTAGACTGAACTCTTGGAATATATATAATACATAAATACACAAATATATGCAGCTCTGTGATCGTTAATACATCATTTATTGTATTTTAAATGCAAGCAGTGTACGTACCTTATTGTGACCTGGTATCAGCCACATGCAGGCTCTGTATAGGAGAGCTGGAGTGGAAGAGACAAAAGCAGAACAAGTAGCCAAGCCTGCTGATAGGAAGAGATACTCACTGGCCACTTTATTAGGTCCATCTTGCTAGTAACCTTGTTAGAAATATTCCTCAGAGATTTTGGTCTATGTTGACATAATAGTATCACACAGTTGTGCAGATTTGTCAGCTGCACATTCATGATGCAAATCTCTCATTCCACCACATCCCAAAGGTGCTGTATTGGATTGAGATCTGGTTACTGTGGAGGCCATTGGACTACAGTGAACTCATTGTCAGTTCACGTTTGAGCTAATTTGATCTTTGTGACATGGTGCATTATCCTGCTGGAAGGAGCCATCAGAAGATGGGTACACTGTAGTCATAAAGGTATGAACATGGTCAGCAACAATACTCAGGTAGGCTGTGGTGTTTAAACAATGCTCAATTGGTACTAAGGGCCCAAAGTGTGCCAAGAAAAATATCCCCGGCACCATTACACCACCACCACCCACCAACCTGAACCATTGATACAAGGCAGGATGGATCCATGCTTTCATGTTGTTTACGTCAAATTCTGACTCTACCATCTGAATGTTGCAACTGAAATCGAGACTCATCAGACCAGGCAACGTTTTTCCAATCTTCTATTGTCCAATTTTGGTGAGCCTGAGTGAATTGTAGCCTCTACTTCCTGTTCTCAGCTGAGAGGAGTGGCACCTGGTATGGTTTCCTGCTGCTGTAGTCCATCTGCTTCAAGGTTCGACATGTGCGTTCAACGGGCAGTACGCCCACCAAACACAACATATTCAAGTAAATGAGGGTATTTTTTATTCAAATAGCCTGGCTGGCAAAAAAAAAAAAAGAAAATTCAGGAATTCGTGAGGCAGCATTATTGCCTTCTAAATGCCTGTTATCCAAACCTGCACCACTCTGTAAAAAGTAATCCATTGCAAACTGCTCTTACTGGCAGGATCATCAGGTGAAAATAATGGATAAAATGCCTATAAAAGAAAACTAATGCAGATTGTACTTATTTATTATAGGTATATATATAGCATCAACTATGTATACAGCACTTTATATATTATACAATCACATTAGTCCCTGCCCTCAAGGAGCTTACAGTCTAAAGTCTCTATCTTACATGCATACTAGGGCTAGTTAAACTAACCATCATGTCTTGGTAGGATGGGAGGAGACCAACGCAGGCAAAAAGAGTAATGTAAACTCCACTCATGTACTGACTGGGATGTTAACCAGGCACCAGAGTGCTGCAAAGCAGAGATGCTAATCAGTAAGCATTGTGCTGCTGACTGTTAAAGTCTAAGCTTACTTAAAAGAAAAAAAAAAAGATTAAGAACAAGGGACATTATTTACCTTCAGTGAGAGATGTGTCCCTCGTTTAGCAGAAATCTTTATTTTTCAATGCCCCCAGCATAGGAAGATTATGATGGCAGGGGTTAATAGAACTATGAGAACTCTCAGAGGCACTCATCAAGAGTGTCTGACTATGCCTAGAAAGCCATGACTCCCTTCATAGAAAACCATACAAATGTTTCTTTAACCTCTTGCCGACCGCGCATAGCCGAATGACGGCTTCACCGCGGCCGGCCAGTTCTGAGTGGACGTCATATGACGTCCTCCCAGAACGCGCTCTCCTGCGCGCCCCAGGGGGCGCGCACCCCGGCGATCTCCGTGATCGCTGTGTCCTACGGACACAGCTGATCACGTGATGTGGTGAAAGGCCGATCCCACCGGCCTTTTACCACGTGATCAGCGGTGTCCAATGACACGCTGATCACAGGGAAATGCAAGTGCCGGTTCTCGGCTGCACTTTCCCTCATGCTGTCAGATCGTGAGGAAAGTACTGCCGAGAACCGGCAGTTTGTCAGAGCGGGGATCGGCACCGATCATCAGGGCACTGATGATCAGTGCCCTGATGATTCGGTGCCCAGCAGTGACACCCGCAAGTTCCGCCCAGCAGTGCGCCCCACTAGCCCCGCCCACCCGTTCCCAGCAGTGCCCCCACCTGTGCCCAGCAGTGCCCCCACCTGTGCCCAGCAGTGCACCCACCTGTGCCACTCTGCAGTGCCACCTACCTGTGCCCAGAAGTGCCACCTACATGTGCCCAGCAGTGCCACCCACCTGTGCCCACCCACCTGTGCCCACCAGTGCCACCCACCTGTGCCCACCAGTGCCACCCCCACCTGTGCCCACCCACCAGTGCTGCCCACCAGTGCCACCCACCAGTGCAGCCCAGCAGTGCTGCCAGTCAGTGCCACCAGTCAGTGCCCAGGGGTTGTGCCAGTCAGTGCCGCCAGTCAGTGCCCAGAAGTGATGCCAGTCAGTGCCGTCTATCAGTACCCATCATCAGTGCCACCTATCAGTGCCGCCTATCAGTGCTGCATATCAGTGCCGCCTATCCGTGACCCCTAATTAGTGCTGTCTATCAGTGCCGCCTATCCGTGCCACCTCATTAGTACTGCCTATCAGTGCCCTTTAGTGCTGCCTATCAGTGCCCATCAGTGCCTATCAGTGCCTATCAGTGCCGCCTATCAGTGCCCATCAGTGCCGCCTCATCAACGCAAATTAGTGAAGGAGAAAAAATACCTGTTTGAAAAATTTTATAAAAGAAACAAATAAACTTTTTTTTTTTTCACATTTTTTGCACATTTTTTAATTTATAGCGCAAAAAGTAAAGCGCCCAGTGGCGATTAAATACCACCAAAAGAAAGCTCTATTTGTGAGAAAAAATGAACAAAATTTCATATGGGTACAATGTTGCATGACCGCGCAATTGTCAATCAAAGTGCGGCAGCGCTGAAAGCTGAAAATTGGCCTGGTAAATAAGGGGGTATAAGTGCCTGGTAGGCAAGTGGTTAAATAAATTAGGATCTATGAATGGATGGGGTCCTATCAATCATTCGCCTGCCCTCAATTCATAGACAATGTTTCATTTACAGAAGCTTTAGTGCCAGCTTCTTTGAATGGAGAAGCTTGGCAGAAAAGGAAGGCATAGGTGGGCTCCATGAGCACTATTAACCCCTCTGTCATAATTTTCTGGTGCTAGGAACATCGGAGGAGGTAGATTTCTGCTAAACAAGGACACAGCAGCATACGTTGCACATCTCATTGAAGGTAAGTAGTGTCCCTAAAATAAAGTCAGAAGTGGTGTGAATAAATAAATATTTTTTTTTTTTCCAAAAAAAAAAAACATTTATTTAGGAAGTGCATAATGATACAAAAAGAAATGCAAATGATACTCAGATACGACATTTGGCAATGCATACCATGAAAAAGTAAGAAGTCTCTTGCAGAGAAAAACATATGCAACATTGTTATATCAATCAACGACGGGGTAAAGCTTGTAATACTCAGGCGTTACAGTAATGTGGATGGGAATGCTATCGCATCGAACCTCCTATGTGTGTAATTCTCACTGCGGAGCTGCAAAGGGAGGGAGGGTAGATTCAGCACAAATGTTGAAGACGAGGCTAGCGTCTTACGAGAATGGAGGTGCCTGTAAGCAATGTAAGATAGAAGCGCCGTGCTTTCTGAATGGCCCTGTAATCTTCTGGGACCTGTCACGTGTCCTAGAAGATTACAGGGAAAGAGGGGGAAGGACAACTCCGCAGAAGTGGGAGCGGGTACCTGTCAAATTTGGGTACCCACTCCCCAAAGGTCCACAGTCTCTGGTCTTCGCCTGTACCGTGTCCGCAGTCTCTGGTCTTCTGTACCGTGTCCGCAGTCTCTGGTCATCTCCTGTACCATGTCCTCAGTCTCTGGTCATCTCCTGTACCATGTCTGCAGTCTCTGGTCATCTCCTGTACCGTGTCTGCAGTCTCTGGTCATCCCCTGTAAACGTGTACCATCCGCAGTCTCTGGTCTTCGCCTGTACCATGTCCGCAGTCTCTGGTCATCCCCTGTACCGTGTCCGCAGTCTCTGGTCATCCCCTACACCGTGTCCGCAGTCTCTGGTCATCTCCTTTACTGTGTCCGCAGTCTCTGGTTATCTCCTGTACCGTGTCCGCAGTCTCTGGTCATCTCCTGTACCTTGTCCGCAGTCTCTGGCCATCTCCTGTGCCATGTCCGCAGTCTCTGGTCATCTTCTGTACCGTGTCCGCAGTCTCTGGTCATCTGTACCGTGTCCGCAGTCTCTGGTCATCTCCTGTACTGTGTCCGCAGTCTCTGGTCATCTCCTGTACTATGTCCGCAGTCTCTGGTCCTCTCCTGTAGTATGTCCACAGTCTATGGTCATCTCCTGTATTATGTCCGCCATCTCTGGTCATCTCCTGTACTATGTCTGCAGTCTCTGGTCATCTCCTGTACTATGTCTGCAGTCCATTGGTTCAGAATATTTTTTTTCCTGTTTTCCACATCTAAAATCTAGGTGAGTCTTATGGTTAGGTGTGTCTTATGGAGCGAAAAATACGGTATTTTAAAAACAGAGATAGGAACACCTATATCCCGATAAATAGCTGACACCATAAACCTTGGCTCATAAATATACCTAGAGGACAATTTATGCGTATAAAAAGAAACTGTACTAAAGCTGTAGATTATGACGAACAAAGTGCTACTTTAGCACAAAGATTTATTAAAAAAAGGATACAAACAAGAAACAGTAGAAAAAGAAAGACATAGTACGGCAATATGTTAGAAACATTATATTAATGGATAAAGAATGTGAACAAAAGGGAACCTTTGATGTACCTGTTGTTTTACAGTACAACAAACAGCATAGATCGGTGGAAAGCATTATCCAAAAACATTGCAACATACTGAAACAAGATAAACATCTTAAAAATTTTATACCTATAACACCCAAATTCGTAAACAAAAAAGCACCGAATTTGAGGGACAAATTAGTCAAAAATGTTATTGAACCCCCCACACAAACCCAGTCAGTTTCTTCAAGGGGATTGGGTTTTTATGCATGTGGAAGATGTTACAGTTGTAGCAGGGTTAGAAATAATTTGAAGAGAATATTCACCTTCCAAAATCCCACCATGGGAAGGGAATATAAGATCAAACAATTCATCTCATGTGAAACCAAAGGAGTGGTTTAGGCCTTGAAATGTCCCTGTAATCTGATCTATATAGGAAGAACCAAAAGAGCTCTAAAAGATAGAATTAAAGAACATGTTTATAATATTAACAGAGGTTATAAATACCATCACTTATCACAGCACTTACTGTACTTTTCATAATAAGGATGCCAGCCTCATGCAATTTTGGGGTATCGAAAAACATGTTAGTCATTGGAGAGGGGACAATAAAATTAGAGAACTTAGTAAAAAAGAATCCAGGTGGATCCATGAACTGAATAGTTTAGCACCTGCGGGCTTGAACAAAGAATTTGATCTTTCTTGTTTTATTAGTAATCATTAGGAATCTCAATAATAAATTATGATAGGGGAGAGACCCCATAAGGATTAACTATACCAAGACTCGGAATAACCATATTTAAGAACAATGCTATAGCACTGATTTATTAACAGTAGTAGTGGTTACAGGCCTCCGCATCTGGGTATATTACCACATATTGTTTGATATCTGAATGTATTTGTCATTTATTTATTGCAGATGTTTTCATTAGTCATTACTTTATAGCTGTAAGTTTTCAATTACTATGCCATAGTACTAATTTATTTTAACAGGAGTAGTGGTTACAGGCATCCACCGCTGGGCATACTACTATTTATTGGTTTACATTTGTATGCATTTGTCATTAATTATTGTAGATGTTTTATTAGTCATTCTACTTATAGTTGGAGGTTTTACCCTTAGTTTTATGGGTTTATATGTTCATTTAGATTAATATTATCTCAGCCCCTAGTATATGTCTGCCTATAGGTGGAATACCCCTTTATGATAAATAGAGTGTTTCATAATACGTCTATCGTGCGTTTAATAATACAAATTCGAGTATATATATATAACTATATGGATATTATATTTAGATATTTATAGAGTTATACAAGTGTTTATGTTTTATAAATGTTTTTAGCTTAATTTAATTATTGAGATTATAGTCATTATATTATTTTAAAAAACACACACATATTATTGTAAATAGGTGCATAGCTTAGCATTAGCATATAGCCATCATTAGGTAGCAGTATTTAGCTCTTCAATGCTTGCACACTCACAGGTTTTAATTTAGCTGATTGATCAAATGTTGGTGTAACAGGCAAATCGCAGTGAAGGTGAGGGTGCAAAATAAGGGTCCTCAGTGTGAGTGATCAACACACACTTCTTCTGTGTGCTTAAACTCAAACCGGGCTCCAAAAACATGGCCACCGCCATGTGGACTACAACAAAAAGGCGCCCGGCGTTTTCTATATAAATCAATGGGCGTCGTGTTGTCCAATCAGTTCCCCCTGATAAAGCCACGTGACCCGCTGGTGTAACGCGTAGGGGAGGGGCTCTGATGTCACGACGCTTAAACAAACATACGGCAAGTATTTAACAATATTGGAAAACTTTACTGTGGATTCAAATTTCAATGCGGTTTTAACATGTAATACATGTGAGTGCACTACTATATTTAATAAATTATGTTTTTAAAGACGATAAGGCACTATATTTTTTTATTACATTTCATGGCCATTATACCTGTGGAGAAAAATCCCTAAGGAAGCATGGAGACCCCTAGTGGGAAGAGGGATATTTCCGTCCATCTATCCGCCTCCAGGAGAATCCATAAGGAAGCGAAGTGACCCCCTGCTGTAAAGAGGGAACACCGTCCATCTATCCATCCCAGGGAAAGAGGACTCATCCCTTCCATTCACCACTTAGCCCCATTAAAGGGATACAAGCCTTTTATGACCTCACTTAATGGTGTGGTCATATACACCAGGTGAGAACACAACCGGTCAAGGTGTATAACATTTTTTATGATTGGTGAACTGCACAGTTATTATTTTGTATCACAGCACTGGAAGAAGTGTCAAGGTCATGGATTTAATAAGGACATGTTTGCAGCAGTAATATAATTGCAGAGATATCGTTTTGCACTCTTTCGAAGCAGTGCTGTTATTTATGGACTGTTATTTATTTAATATTTATTTATTCACATTTTTACAATTGGTAGTGGAGCGTGACACCACTTTTGACTTTTTTTTATTCTCTATGACACAGTGGTATGAGTAAATGTAGAGTGTAAGCGAACCACCTATTTTCACATATTTCTTTACACAATTTTTATGATAATTTCATTTTAAATATTTTATTGATTTTACCACACAGTATTGGTAATATTTAAATATTTTAGCATACACCATAGTAGCTCACAAAACCCCATAGTTCAGTATCTAAGTAGTGTCCCTGATGCTTTTTTTGTAGGCTTTAATGATCCCTGATTAATGCTTTACGTTGTGTCAGGTTTATGTGACAGTAGGGTTGAATTACTAAAAGTAAAAGAGTGCAAAATCTGGTGCAGCTGTGCATGATAGCCAATAGGCTTTAACTTCAGCTTGTTCAACTAAAGAGATTCTAAAGCTTCCTTTTTATTTTTTTTTGGAAAATAACAAACATGTCTATACTTACCTGCTCTGTGTAGTAGTATTGCACAGAGTAGCCTGGATCCTCTTCTTGGGTCCCCCACAGGCTCTCCTGTCGGGTGTCCCCACAGGAAGCAGCTTGCTATGGGGGCACCCACTGCTCCATGTGTCTATTCACACACAGAGCCGTGGCCTGGCCCATTCCCCCCTCTCTCCTCATTGGCTGACTGGCTGTGATTCACAGCAGTGGGAGTTAATGGCTCTCGCTTGTTGTCGCAGCCAATGAGGAGGCAGAGACCCGGGATAGTCGACGTTGTTGTTGACATGGCTGGATCGCGATGAGGCTCAGGTAAGTTTTGAGGGGGCTGGGGACACTGCTGCACACAGAAGGTAATAGAATGCAAAAAGCCTTAAGCCTTTACACCCACTTTAAAGCGGAGTTCTACTCAAAAGCGGAAGCTCCACTTATTTACCTCCTACTCCCCTCCACTGCCATATTTGGAACCTTTTGGAGGGAGCGGGTACCTGGTTTTGACAGGTTCCTCGTGGCTCCTCCGGTTCCTCCCTCCCGCAGTCTCCTGGGAACCTTCTGCCAGACCAATTAGGAGGTGCAACACGACTCGCGCATGCGCAGTGGGCACCCGGCTGTGAAGACGCAAGTTGTCACAGCCTGGTGCCCACAGTTGAGATGCCGGCGCCGTGGAGAAAAGAAAGGGAGAAGGGACGGCGCGGATGAGAACATCGCTGGATACTGGACAGGTAAGTATGTGTTTATTAAAAGTCAGCAGCTACAGTTTTTGCAGCTGCTGACTTTTAATAAACACAAAAACTGCTGGAACTCCGCTTTAAGCTTTGACAAAACAAACTGGAATCTGATTGGTTTCTATGCACAGCTGCACCAGATTTTGCACTGTCCAGTTTTAGTAAATCACCCCAGCATTTTTTTTTACTGTGTCATAATATTTATTAATAATAATTTTACTTCTTGCATGCGTCCCCTTCTTCAGGTTCCTATAGCAGGTATTAGGGTACAATGACAAAGTAACCGGAGATGATTGTCTTCTTTCTCCATGAACAGAACAGCCCTGCATTTGTATTGCTGTGCACCTTTTCTTACATTTATGTTTTTACTGACAGACCCTCTTTAAAGCTCGCATCCCTAACTGTTCATATCTGGGATTACAAGTAACAAAAAAGTATAAAGAGATGGGATTTACGACTCGGAGCTGTTTGCAAACATTTCCTATACAGTCCATACATGAAGTCTCCCAGCTCTGTTCCTGCAATCCTGTATTATAGGCTCTCAGGGAACGAGCAGTCAATTCTGTCAGTGTCATTAGTTTTTACTTAGAGCCGCTCCATTAAATCACTGTGTTGTTCCACATGTGGAAGACTGGAGGTTGTATTCACCTCTTCCAGAGTGGTCTCAGTGAGTCTTTATTTCAGCACAAGGGCCCCTCAGTGTGAGCAGCTTTAGGAGAGAAAAAAACTCATTGGACGGGGGGCGGCTGTTTCCGCCAGTGGGATTTGGAGCAAACAGCACTAATGTAAACATAAGGAGAATGCAGGTCCTGGCTGCTCTATGCAAGACTAAATGAGACCCAGATGCTGGACTCGTAGGATTGCTGTTCTTTCTTTTTTTCCCCTAGGGGCAGAAAGTTGTACTGGTATTTCTTACAGTCTATGCTAATCATGTGAAACAGCAGCTAGGCGTAGCCCAAATCGTTTGTGTTCAACGCTAAGATGTCATTTCAGTGCTGTTACTATGGAATAAGTGAGTTTCACTACCTAA